CCACAAGTGTTTTCTTCATGCAATAACCGTTCTGGATTATCAATTCTCGCCAATTGATCGAAAAGCATGCGAATTGAAATAATTTCGGCTTTGATCTTATTATTGGTATTCTTCTTCATCAAGCCATGAAGTTTAACAATTTTATCTCCAAACGATTCCCATAATTGTCTTCTCTTTTCTTCACTTGAAGTATTAGTACCTACAGTGGCCAAGTGATCCACTACTACAGCACTGTGGTCGTTGGATAACGACACCTCAGAACCCGCATTACCAGATGCCGGTACTGGTGTTCCGACCCTCTGCACCGTAAGGTTTGTCAGTTTAACGTGAGTCCCCATGGTTTATTATTCGTGGTTTCTTTCCCTAGTCAGTTTGACCCGCGAGAGGTATTTTATTTCCCTCTTGCCCTCTATTTCTTGAGAGCATTCCCCTATCCGCCACCTGGGAAAGCGCCTCGCATGGGTTTCAGACTTCCTGTGGTTGATTTGATTAGTGTTTCTGTGTATGATAGTGTATTGGCGTTCAGATACTTGATTATATTATGATATGATACTCTAAAATATATATATATATATATATTCTAATGACTCTGACTGTATCCAAGAGAACTGCTTGCTGAGCCTCTCTTAACACACAAAGGTGTTAACCATTATTGTTATAAGTTATTTAAACGGCCTTCCTATTTAAAAGAGATGGGATACTATTTATCATAACAATCATATCATATCATAAAACATTGACAAGTAATATACTGAAGATATATTATATGTGAGGAAGCAAAACTCTTAACTAATTGCTGGGTTTTAGTTGCAAACTCAATTTCAAGTGGTAAAATATTTGCCTGACGTAGGCCATGAGTAAAAAACCAGGCGTCATCACATTTGGGATTTTCTATAACTTTTTTAATCGAAGTGCTTTGTATCTTTAATTAGGTCTAAGATTAAAATAGGCCACTTAGGTTATAGTTTATCGCTAGAATCATCTAGGCTATCAGAAGTGAAATTCCCGATTTCAATGGCGTATAGATCTTTAAGATAGTTCTTTCATTTTCGTTGAATCCGGTCTGAGAAATAAACTCCAGAAAGATTTATTTACACTACTACACTATTATCACATTTTTCCTCCGAATTCTATTTTCGTTTTATTTACAGGTTAAAAAATACTGGGTTGGTGAAAGAAAAAAAAAACGATAATTCATTTGACTATCGTTAAATGACAGTAGCCATTAAGATAAAGTCGTTTAGAGCGAGTGGAAGCGGTCTGAGCAGGTTTGAGCTTGTCGAAGCCGTTTGAGGTGTTCATTATTTTTCCTTCTGGCTAACCTGATGTGATATAGTATTTTCTTAAATTATGAATTATTGTTTCTTTTTTCACTTGACACAAACAGCTCGATTAGTTCCTGCAGTGCCGGGCTTAGGGTTGGGCAACTAGGGCAATTACCCGCCGACCGGATATCAGGGGCTCTCGACACTTATTAGCAATTAAAAAAAAAATCCAAAACGTATAAAAATAACTAATTTTAACCTATTCATAGCAATGTTATTAGAGAAATATTGAATGAAATAAACTTCAAAATATTACATTACATTACATTAGTTCACATTAAACATTAGTTACCGAAAATAAATAAAGAGATTAATTTGAGGATTGGGAAGGGGAGGGAGTTTAAAAGATAATAATACAATGGGATGGTTTTGAATACCTATCACAGGAGTACGAAACATTGAAATCGGGAAGGAAATTTGAATTTTGTATTCTAGAACATTGATGCAGGTTTATTATGGGGATGACCAATAACTGATCCAGAATTTAATTTTGGAAGGGCTTCAGCCCGAAATATTTTGTTTTTTTATGTATTAGGATAATTACTTCGGAAGAAAGAAAGAAACCAACTACCTATATGAAATGGTGTTCAAGTGATTTTTTAAGTCCTATTAAATGTAATTAATTAGACGAACAATAATACTTTTAGTGATGATTTTATTTATAAAAATTGGTTATATTTTACCTTATTCGGGAGGGGAGAGAAGGGGGGAGGGAGAAGGGATTCTGCCAGAAAGCCCCCCTTCCACGTAGATCCGCCAATGGTGAAGACCATTTTATCAGCAGGAAAGAGAAAGATTTGTTTGTGAAAGATGTCTGGACGAACTGCTGCACTTATATAGGCAACAAATGTATTAGAAAATGATTTGAAAAGACTGTAGTTTTGTCCCTTTACAAGCAAGGAGATACTAGAAAATGTAATATTCATCCAGATTCATTCCTGTTTAGTGTACCAAAGAAACTCTTCCGAGAATCGTAGAAGCTAGAATAAGAAATATTATAGATTGTCAGAGCGGTATGGATTAAAAAACTCAAGTTGCACATTGGAACCAAAGTTGCAAGTTGGGACTGCCTTCACTTTAAGGTAGGTTATAGAGTAGTCCATCAAGAAAGAAAATAGCTCTCTATCTGCCACTAGCGGATCCAGGATTTAATTTTGGGGGGGCTTCAGCCCGAAAGCTTTTTTTTTCACAAAAATAACGATAATTACTTTGGAAAAAAAGAAATAAACTAACTACCTGTATGAAATGGTGTTTAAGTGATTTCTAAAGCCCTTTTAATATTAATCACACGAACAATAATACTTTAAGAGATACTTTTTTAATATTTTTTTCGATAAACCATGGTTATATTTTACCATTTTGGGGGGGGGCTTCAGCCCAAAAGTCCCCCCCCCCTCGTAGATCCGCCCGTTCTGCCTGCTTAGTGCCACACACTTTGGATTGTGCTAATATCTGCTAGTCTTTCAGAAAAGCTCCTTTTCCTTTCAGATTCGTTAAAAAATATTTTGCACTAAACAGAAGGAGAGTTATTTCCCTTTCTTGATAGACCTCTCTATACCTGCTTTATATTGAAGGTAGTCCCAATGTGCAACTTCAATAGTAATAGAAAATAAAGTGGTTTTCACCACAATAAACCTCGATTACTTCGTCCGAACCTGCTGACTTGCCAATTGATTCGAACAAATCTTTCTTGCTGATAAAATGGTCTTCACCATAATAAACCTTCATCTGCACCTTAATATAATTCAAACTATTCCAGCATTTGATCCCCTTTTAGCAGCATCTTGAAATATTCTGTTCACCTGTCAAATATATATTCGTTTAACCATATAATGGATACTGATCCTTTTTGATCGAGATTTTGGCACTTCCTTTCTCGTTCGCCGGATGTATTTTTCCAATTTTTGGGTTCAATTTCGCGTTTTCTCTCAGTTTGAGGCCAAACACTAACAATCAGATCCGGTTTTCTAGAAGAACTTATAGCTTCGCCCTTTCCAACTTTCTTTGTGCAGAGAGAATAATGGAATGCATTACATATTCAAATTTCCTATTTTTTTATGATATTGTCCAACTTCACAACAAAATAAAGGAAATAAGAAATATTTTGTTGTTAGTAATGTATGAATTTTACTAAACAATCCATCAACTATTCATTAAATGTAGTTCACAATAGGGATATATTATTTTAGTTTATAATACATTTATTAATGTGTCTCATTTCCAGGTAGTTATATACAATTTAAATTACCCTTAAAAATAAGTTAATATACAAAAAACTTGTTAAATTGCAAGAGAGAAATACTTTATTTTCATAAAAATATAAAATATAAAAGATTGCTGCCCAATTATATTGGGTTGCTATATACACAGCATACTCTTTAATCTTTAGGACAATAAATGAACTTATATGTAAATATACAGAACTGTTAGTTTATATTAGTAAAATATATATATATATTTTTTTTTTTGCTTCCTTTCATTGTTCATGCTTTTTTTTCCCCCCTTTCTCTCACTTCTATCTCTTTATCTCTATTGTTTCCAATTTTTCATTAAATAAATAAATACATAAATAAAAAAATCAAGATATGCAGCCAAATATTTTTTAATTAGGTTTTATTATAATAATTATATCATTCCTACGATATAGGAATTGTTAAACAAATTCCGTATAGAATAGAGGAAGTTAAATTCTAAAAAATAAATAAATTATAAAAAAAGATTCAGTTTTTTGGACAATTAAATTATTGCATTAATATTTGTTCGTTGATACAATCAATAAAATGTACCTAAAACGTTATCATAGCTCTATAACTAAGCCATTTATGAATACTGAATGCTATGGTGTGGTCGTAGGCACCTATGGCAGTACCGTTTTTCTGCCGCTTAAGTGCATTTTCTACGGGACTGCTTCAAATATTTTAAAAAGTAATCAGTGTTTTAGAAATAAAAATATATTATCCAGATGTTTTATTTTAGCACGTTTTGCGTTATTCTTGGCCGTTTAATTACAAACGACGCTTGATTTTCTACTTGGAAATTTTTTTGTTAAAAAATTGACTTTACTGGTGTTTTTGTTGCTTAAGCCACTTATAGTTTGACATTTTTTCAAGTTTTGTTAGTTTCTGACCACCCAGCTTTAATAAAAGACCAATTATGACGAAATTAATTCAAATTCTGATTCTCAGTGACAAAAAAACTAATTAAAGTCAAAGTCGTCTTTTTTTTTGTGGGTACATTGGCTTTTTTTGTAATAAACAGTTACAAGGAATACAACGATGTGCAATTTATAGTTTCTTTTTTGTTTTTATGATTGCGGTTTCTCCTCCAAAGCCGTTCAGCTTTGCCTTTGACAAGAAAATGATCTGACCCACATTCAGCTAGCTCCTCTCTGCTTCCGAACGTTGAGGAATTTGAATTACTCATTAGACAGTCCGATTATCCGATGCTTTAATTTAGGTCTTTTAGCATTTTAAATTTTGTTGCTCAGGTTTAGGAGCTAGGCCAACGCAGAAAACTTCAGCCTGGAAGAAGAGTTTCTGATTTTAGTCTTCTCAATCAGTACCAAGCCTGCTGAAGGGGAAGTATCCACCTCGAAAAAGTTGGAGGTACCAGAAAACCATGCAGTCCCTTTCGCTATCCTCATCACTGCGGCTGCAAGTAAAGGGGGTTTCACTAATACCAAGAGGTGTCTCTGTAAAGGGATTGCGCAGCGGGGTTAGTCGTTTTTATTTTGTTTTTTAATTAAAAAACTTTCGTTTTTTTGCTGTTTTCTACACTGAAAGTGATTTCACAGTTGTGAATAGATGCTTAAATATGTTACGGGATTTCTAACTAGTACTAAAAACGTCTGCTTTATTATTCACATCAAGGTAAATGCATTAAAATGAGGATTATTTTGTGTTTCATTAAAGATTTCATATCTTCATAAAAATGAATAAATATTGTATTTATATTAAATTAAATTTAATTAATTCATATTTAACGTAACATTTCATTCTAGTAATATTTTAAGGCAACTTTTCAGAACTATGAAATTAATAATGTGAAAAAAAAAAATCACTGGTGCGATAAAAGTAGAACAGAGCCTTTTTTTAAATTTTTTATATGACAAATAATTTAGAGACAAATAATAACTAAATATGAACTGAAATTAATAACCTTTTTTTTTAATTTAAAATAAAAAAAAAATGATAAGACAGTTGCTGGGAAAGAGACCAGTAACGTCAGCGTCCCCGGGTGCCCCTTCTATAAGAGGAACCTGCTCTGATCTCGAAGTCAGTCAGCAATATGTCAGCCGATTGGAAGGTGTTGTTGTTCTTGGTTGGGCTTTGTTGTTGTGTTGCGGCCCAAGAAGACTGCGTGTGCGTTGACTACGACCGTTGCGGAGACGTAGTAGTAAGGTAACCAAATGCAGTGCTCAACAGATTTTTTAGTGCCTTAATCAGATTTTTAGAAATTTGTTTAAATGTATAAAATATAAATAAATCTGCTGTCCGTATCGCACTGCTTTCACTCACCACTCCACATGGAGTAGAAATTATTTTTTGCTAAAAATAGGCTACTACAAAAGATTTTTGAATTTTTAATGGAGCTAAAGCTACTAAACTAAAGAACATATTTGTGAATTTCGGTCATATTTTTCATATGAGGACCATCAAAGCAAAACAAACCCTGCTTAATATGTCGACGATAAGCAATGAAAACCGTGTACCACCATCAGTCTTTTTAAAACACAACTGCAGTCTCTGAGCTCTATTTATATAGAGAGATTTAAAATTACATCTATGTATATATGTGTGATGGGAGACCTCAAGAGCTACAAAAAATTTCATGTAAACTATGGGCCAATTTTCAGCAGAAAATAGAAAATCCAAGTTTTTGTGATTTTTGTCGAATACGCGATAACAAAGAAATATTTAATTTAACACCTAAAAGTATGCATGTTTTCAGAAAAGCTACTACAATTAACTGTTATGAAGGTTTTATTTCTTGTTTTTCAATAAGCCGGTATGTACTATAATAAATATGGTGCCTAAATACACATTTATTAACAAAATTGAAAAAAAAATGATTTTTCAAATATATTTTATGTAAATTAGTTATGAAACTGTGTTGTCGTCTCCCTGACCTCTGTTATAGGAATTGATCCCTTCGTGTGACCAAATAAATGATAAAAATGAATCGCGAATAATTTATGATTTTTTATAAACAGAATTTAGATTAGTTTAGCCGCTTAAAAGTCCTCTTTATATAGTTTTAACAATGATAAACTCAGCTTTCGTTTGAAATAAAGTTAGAAAAGTCTAGTTTACACTGAAGCAATTGGTAATTACTCAAACTAAATATTTCTTTAGTTATCGCTTCCTATTCAATAAAAAACACGGAATTTTCTAGTTTTCTGCTGAAAATTGGACCATTGTTTACGTGAACTTTTTTGTAGCTCTAGACTATCATTGTTATAAAAATTTCCTTCTCGTTACGGGAATCCCTGTATATATTTAATCTGTTAAAATTAAGGATTGTACTGCCTAGTAAAAACACTATCGAACAAAATCTGTATCACATTATAGATGTTATATACTATTAATTTTACTTATAAAATTTACCGAAATGGAGTTCAAAGTTTTTATTACCTACCATCGATAGGTCAAAAGTAGCCCAATAAGTGTGCTTAATAAATAAGTGCAATAATAAATGCAGTGATTTCACAGAAGGGAAATTCACCAAATTTATTTTCTAAAATGTAACTAAATGTTTTTTTTTTTCTTTTTTTTTGATAAACCAACGATATGTGCCTTAAAATTTCTTTATATTATCAGTTCTAAAGTTATCAAACTACAGTAAATCTATTTACTATTTAAGATTATAAAAATTTAAGTAGCCTCATGTGAAAGACAGGCATCTGTATTTTTCAGAAAGAAATATCCGATTTTTTATTTATAGGTTCAATTAAAACTGTTTCTGAAGAATACATACATTTAAAGAATGTTCAAGTAGAATCATGAAAAAGAATCATTAGAATTGGTTTAAATTAAAGCTATGTTACAAAAAATGCTTATTTATCACCTTTTTTAAAATATCAAATGTCGGTCTTCGATATGAACCCATTCATACGTTTTATACTCTTCAAAAACACTGCATGAAATATTTATATACTTTACCTCACCTTTCACATAAGAAGAATGAAATATCTTTTAAACAATTCCATTACATCGATTCAGTGCATTACATTTACTTTTTGTGTTAAGCCTAAATAAATTTTAAGGATTTCCATTCAGTTTCTACTGAAATTCAATTTATTTAATTATGTATTTATCTGTATTCGGCTGCCATGTGCAACTACATAGGTTAAAGGCAACTTTTTCAGTTACATATTCATTTCAATTACATATTTAATAGAAATATTTCTGTAAAAGGTTGTATTGTTTCAGATGAGATTGTGTTGTTAAAATATGTCTATAAATAATCTGTTGTGCATGGAAACTATTTAAGGGTTGTGTTATTTATTTATTGAAAAATATTACAATTTGTCTCAAAGGACATTTATAATAGTGATCAGAGATCAAATTCACACTCTATGTACAATAAATAAGAATAAATGAACCTAAAAATAAATAAATAAAAAGAACACATATATACACTATTTACAATCAGGAGAGAGAACACTGAGCCAGACTTGTTCCTCCAACTGTGGAGGGAAAAGCATGATTCCAGGAGATCTATGCACTTCTCTCTCAACCGCGTCACTGGGGTTAAACCCCAGTTGGAGATTGAGCAAGAGCCACATACACCATACTATAACCACATCATGTCGTGAGTGGAGAATCTAGCGATTTGCCAGAACTCCATTATGCCGTTTTAACCTTCTTGGAGGATTATTGGGATGTGTGGTGCTGGATAGGGATTGTGCAAAGGGATTTGGATGATCGGAAAAGTTAGGGTGAAATTTGGAGAATTTTGCTGAGATAAGGTCTAGGGCAAATGGGAAATTAAAGTCATGGTGTAGGATTTGTTGGTTACATAGAAAGGAACATCGACTATTGTTCGAAGGACTTTGGATTGGAAGGATTGGATGCGTTTGATGTTAGAAAATTTTGTTGTTGCCCACAGTTCAAGTCCGTAAGTCCAAGTAGGTTTCAGTATTGTCTTATAGATAAGTATTTTATTTCCAATAGATAGTTTAGATTTTCTATTTAATAGTTGGCCGTATCATCGGTTTCTGTCTTTAAGTCTAGTATGAGGGTTCCAAGTTAGTCGTTTGTCTAAGAGAAAGCCAAGAAACCGGACTGTGTCTGAGAAACTAAGCTGGATGAAATTTAAGTATACTGGTGGACAGGAACTGCGTCGGAGTGTGAAGGTGATGTGTTGGCATTTGGATTCATTTACTTTAATACGCCATTTATTTCACCAGTGCTCAATCAGAGAGAGAGGTGTCTTTGAAGGTTTAAGGATGATATATCAGGATCTGAGTCGGTTGATAGAATGAAGGTGTCATCAGCTAATGTTGCCAGAAAGGTATCGGGATGGACAGGGATATCGGCGATAAAGAGGATGTAAAGGACGGGACCCAATACGCTACATTGAGGAACACCAGCCTCAATTGGATAGCAATTTGAAAATTCAGTGCCGCAGCGAACTCGGAAGGTACGATCTGAGAGGTAGGAATGAAGGAAAAGGTATAAGGACTGAGGCAGGTGGGTTTTAAGTTTGAATAGAAGCCCGGCGTGCCATACCCGGACAAAAGCTTGAGCTATGTCCAGAAATGCACCCGAACAATATTGCTTGCTTTCCAGTGCTGCGGAAATATGATCGACCACTCCAAGTCCTTGTTGGACTGTGGAGTGTTGGGAACGAAATCCGAACTGGTATGGAGGAAGATTTTGAGATTCTATAAAGGGTAGGATAAAGTTATTTAAATATGTCTGTAGTAATTGTGTTGTTTAAGACATTGGAGCAAATTATTCGAGTTTTCTGACTGTCGGTATCATCAGGAAATTCAATTTAGTTTTCTTGAATAATTTTATTTCCCTTGTCATATTATAAAAGTACGGTATAGTGATTTCAGTTGCTTATTTAGTGTCTACTTTTTATTTTTACATACTTAAAAATCCCAAGTTTCAGTTTAAAATTAAATAAAAAAACTCAATCGATGAATATGGATGACTTATTAAACTTATTTACAAGATTGTACTCTAATCTTGTAGTTTCGAAGTTAGTGGTGAGATGTTTGAATATACTTGAATATCTAAGATTGAATATCCTAAGAGCTATTATACTTAATTTATTACTAGTATTTTAGTTATTCTTTATTATAATAGGTCTCTTGGCCAGATGCATTGTTAATTTATATGATACTGTTATTCTTAAAGGACATAGTCCCAGAATAAAGATGATTTTCTATTTCTATTAAAAAAATATAAAAACCAGTTTCTATTATCGTAACAGACAAGAGATAAAGCTTTTTTTGTAGCGTGACCTTTCACACTTGGTATTCAAAGAGAATCAATTCAATATGTTCTATAAATATTAGAAAGATATTTCAACATAAAAATTATGTAGAAATGTCAAATATTCCAAACATCGTGCTCCAACCTAGTAGTTCTGAAGTTTATAGCGAGATTTTTGAAAATATTTTAAATTACCTTTACCTTTACGTTAGTTATGAATACATTTGTTAATAAACTCTTCGGAAACATAAACATGTCGAAATCTTAAACATATTTTGTTTTAAAAATGAAAAAATAAATAAAAATATGATGCGTGTCTCATACAACTTTCACTTACCGCTCTGTTTTGAACAAAAATTATTGCCTGGTGACATTGGGCTATGGTTTTTGAAGTGTATTTATTACCGAGCTAAACCTTAAAGAACACATTTGTTAATTTCGGTCATATTTATCAATGCGAAAAATCATTAAGGCCATCAAAATAACACAAGCACTATTTATTACATCGAGTGTCAACCTCAGAACTCCTGAGTCAATTTGATAGATATGAATGTACTTCTCATCCGTTTATTCCAAAAAATCACTCAAGACATTTTTGATGTAGTTGAACTTCTAAGAACGTTTTTGTGAATTTGACCTTATTTCTCGAGAAAAAAATATCCATAAAAATGACACAAGTCTTGATATATTTCATTCATATATAAAAACTGTCCACTTTTTTTTATTTCTCAAAATGAAAATAAATCAAATTTTGATGCGATTCAAGGTTATAAATTGATTTTGTTATATTTACTTATAAGGATTTTACTACAGAGAAAAAACTTCTGCCAAAACAACGTACCCATCTGGCTAAAAACTATATATATGACATGTTTAATTTTTTTGAATTAGAATGAAATAGCTGGGAGAAACCACCCCTAACCACCATATGTACAATATTGGGGGGGAGGGCGTTAAATGCTGTGCCCGGGAGCCCTTTTCTTTTAAAATAAAAAAAATGAAAATTTTGAAATGAATGAAAAATTAAAACTTCAGTCTCTGAGCCTTTCAGTTGACAGAATTACTAACTCCAATTTCAACATTTTTGACTAATTCCATTTTAATGATATTTCTAGTTGAAACATGTAATTTATGTTAAATAATTCTAGTTTTCATAAATTATTATTTATATTTTAATCACTAATGACTTTATTAATTAGATATTATTTTTTTCTAAAATTTTCCTCTTTCCAAAGATATATTAAAGGTATACCTTCTGACTATTATTTCTAGAGATTCATTTTTGATCTGGATAAGCATTTTAATTTTTTTTTTCCTTCATTCAATTATCAAATTCTTTCAAAAGTTATATTTAGCTTTTTTTCAGAACTCCTAACAACGAGTGCAATTATTTTTTTTTTTAAATAAACCAAATTAAGTTTTACAGGAATAAATATTGATGAGACATATGAAGACACATAGCTTTATGATACAGATCTTCATTCTTCTTTTCAGCTCGAAGGGATGCACTGGGATCCAGGTGTGCTGCTCTGTTGCTCCCCGAAATACGATGCCGCCCGAACCTGAGACGACTACTTCCGAAGTAGATGTTCCAGGTAAGCAACCTAACAGGTCATGACGAATTATTTTCGTGATTATTTATTTATTAGTTTAAATAAAATGAATTTATGGCTACTATTACAGTTTATTACAAAATTCAGCATAGATATTTGAAGAAAATATGTGTTGCTTTTATAGTCCAATAGTAGATCGAAAATTTGTGACTTTTTTTAAGGATCTTCAAATTATAACTAGGCACTATTGAAATAATTTATTTTTGAAACAAATCATATGATTATTTCATGAATGAATCAATATTTCAAATTGCCAATGAAATAATCTGTATGAAATAACTAGTAAATTTATTTCGAAATGAGTTATTTAAGAAATAATTATTTCAGATTTACTTATTTCATAAATAAATTATAACAAAAATACATGAAATAATTATTTCCGAAATAATTCTGTACTGAAATAACATAAAAAAAAAATCCACCAATATAACAAATATATAATATTTAAATAAATAGTATAACCCCACCGGACAAACCTCTAAACCGCCGCTGACAATGACTATAGGGTGCGTATTTCGTCCAATACCTACTGGTATCCAGCTCGAATGGGGGACCACCTTAATTTTATATTTACTCAATATATTTTCCCCTGTTTCACACACTTTAAACTTTGTAGTGACTGATTGTGCGCTCGAACGAAATTTCATTTTTCTTATGTCCCCTTTCGTTTTTTACAATTAGACGAACTTGAGACATTATACTTACTCCTGAGTGGCAGTGGATCAGCTGATGCGAAAGGACGTGTTTCTACATCGTCTCTCAGAATTTACTTATTTTGCAGTGAAATCTTTGAGATTATTTATTCAAAACAAGTCAAGAATACATAATAACAATTGATATTTATTGTTTGTTATAAATTATAGGGTTATTTTTATTTTATTTTTTTTTTAATTTTTTTTTTCCCTTATATGCGATATCACAATCAGGCCATGTCTAGTAGAGCTTCTATCAAGAGAATTCGGCCGTTAGGCTCAACACCTTGTTCTTCGCCTGTCAAACAAAAGCCTCGTCAATGTCGTCAAACACCTGCAGTAACGCCTATTAGCTCCAGAGAAAATGAAACCCAGCCAGGAACATCATCAAAACCAACAATTGAAGAACTTCAGCATCAACCAGGTACATCTTCACAAGAGATAACCGAACAATCTCCGTTTTTCACCCCTAACCCCTATCAGGTGCTTCAGAATGATAAAGAAGTGATGGAATCCGCTTCAATACCAAGAGATCCCCGACCTCCACCCATAATCGTTAAAAACATAAGCAATTTTCAGTTACTATGCTCACAACTGAACAAAATAACAGGCTCTGGAAGCTATTCATGTCTAAGCAGAACAAAGGACACGATGATATCACCAGATACAGCTGAAACCTACAGAAAAATTGTGAAGTATCTAACGGAAACCAACGCGGATTTTCATACGTACCAATTACGGCAAGATCGAGCTTTGAGGGTAGTCATAAGAAATCTACACCCCTCAACACCAACCGAAGCAATAGAAGAAGAATTGAAAACTTCAGGTTTCATAGTGCGCCAGATTACAAATGTACAGAAGGAGAGTAAAGAACAGCCAGGAGTAAAAGTTCCTCTACCCTTATTTTTCGTAGATTTGGAGCCAAATCAAGGGATCGAAAAAATATACGAAATAAGAAGAATATACTACACAAGTGTTATAGTAGAGAAGCCATATCCTAAGAGGGAAATCGTACAGTGTCACAATTGCCAGGCATATGGCCATACCAGGACTTACTGCCATCATCTGCCGCGCTGTGTGAAATGTGGAGAGCAGCACAAATCCGGGGAGTGCACAAAACCGAAACGGGATCCTGCAGTTTGTGCATTGTGCCTTGAAGGACATCCAGCGAACTACAAAGGCTGTCAGATCTACAAGAATATTAAATCAAGATATCAAAAATCCCGGACCCAAGAAGAAGCAGAGGCATCAAGAAGAGAACCTAACGCATCAAGAAGAGGACCTTCAAAAAAAATTGACCCAACGGTGTCTTTTGCACACTTATTAGGAGGTAAGAATGATGTTACTTATTGTGAGACCCTGCCGCAACAACAACACATACCTCAAAATTCTCAACCCCACCCTCAACATCCTAATCAAACTTCACCTAATCAACAGTTTTATCAACACCAAATTCCCCGCATTCCTCCTCCCTCAAATACCACAGATCTCACCAGTTTACTTACATCTTTCCTCTCCGAATTCAGATCCCTTGTTACTCCTTTGATATCTCTTCTCACCAATCTTGTATCACATTTTATCCCTCCCGCGAAAAATCCTTAAATGACTTCCAATAAACCTTTATCCATTCTCCTTTGGAATGCGAATGGTGTTAGAAATCACACAAACGAACTAACTACATTATTACTTGACAAAAATATTGACGTGGCACTAATTACTGAAACTCGACTAACCACTAAACAGCACTTCAAAATACCACAATACCTGACATATCGTACTGACCATCCTGACGGAAAAGCACATGCCGGTACTGCTGTCATTGTACACCAATCCCTCTCCCATCACCTACTCCCGTTACCTACACATGATTTCCTACAGTCCACCGCTATCGTGATAAAAACCTTTTCCTTTCCGGTTACCCTTGCATCAGCGTATTGCCCTCCTAACCGATCCATATCCAATGCCCAATTCCGTTCTCTCCTCGACTCCTTAGGACATCACTTCATCTTGGGTGCAGACCTAAATGCCAAACATCAACAATGGGGTTCCAGAACCACGAATACTCGTGGCCGAACCCTGCTGTCTGCACTCAATTCCCAACATTTTCATCTCCTTTCCCCCAACTCTCCTACCTACTGGCCTACAGATCCCAACCGTAATCCTGATCTTCTTGATTTCTTTATCCACAGCGGCTTAAGTCCCCTCAATTGTTCCATTACACGTCTAAATGAACTTTCCTCTGACCATAGTCCTCTAATCCTTAATGTTTCACTTGAACCCGTTCCCAAACCTTCTCCACCGTCATTTATTAGGGGCCCAGTTAACTGGGACCTTTTCCGCCAAATCATCTCCGATAAAATTGATCTTAACATATCCCTCAAAACTCCCGATGACCTTGATAGTGCCGTAAATTCCTTTACTACCACAATCCAACAAGCCGCCTGGACTGCTTCCTTCCCAAAAGACTCCTCCAGAATTCCTAAAAAGACCATTCTACCCCAACACCTCCTTGACCTAATCCAAACCAAACGCCGTGCCAGATTATTGTGGCAACGTACCCGACATCCTACCGACCGCTGCTCCTATAATTATTACTGCAAAAAATTAAAACTGGAATTAGCCACCTTCAGATCACATTCCTTCAACTCCTACCTATCCTCCCTTTCTTCTCGCGACAATTCCCTTTGGAAAACCACTACCAAAATCTTAAATCCTCACCGCATTTCCCATCCCCTCCGACGAGATGATGGCTCCTGGGCAGCATCTGACGAAGATAAGGCTGAGGAGTTCGCCATTCACCTATCCAATACATTTATTTCACATCCGGAATCCCATCCTGCCCACACCGTAACAGTAGAAGAATTCCTTACATCACCAATCCCACTTTCCTTGCCCCCAAAAGCTATTCATCCTTCCGAAGTGAAATTTCAATTAAAAAAATTAATCCCCCGTAAAGCTCCTGGACATGATCTCCTTACCCCTGAAATCCTTCGACAACTTCCATCCAAAGCAGTCATATTCCTTACATATATCTACAACTGTATCCTACGCACCACCCACTTTCCTCTGCTATGGAAACACTCCACTATTATCCTTTTCCAAAAACCAGGCAAACCTCCCAATATCTCAACATCCTATAGACCAATTAGCCTACTCCCAATCCTTTCAAAAATTTTTGAAAAGATCCTTTTGAAACGAATCCTACTCATTATAGAATCCCAAAATATTCCTTCCCATCAGTTTGGTTTTCGCTCCCAACATTCCACTGTTCAACAAGGACTCCGAGTTGTTGATCATATTTCCTCAGCCCTAGAAAACAAGGAATACTGTTCGGGTGCATTTCTGGACATTGCACAGGCATTTGACCGGGTATGGCACTCCGGACTGCTCTTCAAGCTTAAAATCCATTTACCTCAGTCCTTGTACCTAGTCCTCCGATCCTACCTCTCTGACCGCTCCTTCCGAGTTCGCTGTGGAACAGAATTTTCCAATATCTACTCCGTTAAAGCCGGTGTTCCCCAAGGCAGCGTCTTGGGTCCCGTGCTTTACATCCTCTTTACTGCTGACATCCCTGTTCATCCCGATACTTTTCTTGCAACATTCGCTGACGACACCGCAATCTTATCATCCAACTCTGATCCCAACATAGCATCCTTAAATCTCCAAAACCACCTCACCTTGATTGAGCACTGGTGTAATAACTGGCGCATTAAAGTTAATGAATCTAAATGCCAACATATTACCTTTACACTCCGACGCAGTTCCTGTCCACCAGTACACTTTAATTCCATCCAGCTTCCTTACTCAGACACAGTCCGGTATCTTGGCTTTCATTTAGACCGAAGACTAACGTGGAACCCACATACTAGACTCAAAAGACAAGAACTCAACCGACGATACGGCCAGCTATACAGACTACTAAACAGAAAATCCAAACTTTCTATTGAAAACAAATTACTTATCTACAAGACAATACTGAAACCTATATGGACATACGGACTTGAACTGTGGGGGACAGCAAAAGCTTCTAACATCAAACGCATTCAATCCTTTCAATCTAAAGTCCTTCGAACAATAGTTGATGCTCCGTTCTATGTAAATAACAAAATCCTACACCATGACCTTAATATCCCATTTGTCCTAGACCTTATTCCAGAAAAATTCTCCAAATTTCACCAAAACCTTACCTATCATCCAAATCCCCTTGCACAATCTCTATCCAGCACCACCCATCCTTACAATCCTCCTCGAAGGTTGAAGCGGCAGTGGCCCAGAGACCTTTTGTAAATA